GGGGGCTGATTGATTATTCAAATTTGTAGCCGACAAGGAAGGAAGGTCTCATCGACACGGGGCCGCAGCCCGAGGCGCGGATCGATGCGCTCCGCTCGGGAGGGGGCCCTCAGCGGGGCTCGCAGGAGGGCTCCGACATATTTTGGCTTCCGGAATGCGAAACCCCCGGGGGCTCGACACGGTGCCATGTCGACTCGGCAGATATCTGCTTTTTGCCGACGTGATTCTCAGGATTTTCGCCCCGCAAACTTCATTCGATTGTGCCACTAATATGAGCAAACACTCTTTCTAAATCTGATCTGTTTCGGGCACCCTGAACCCTAATGGTGCATTTTTACCTACGCAATTGTCTATTAGTTTGAACGTCTGTGGACGCTGAGCAGTGCAGGACGATATCAGAAAAGCCAATAAACGGCATGTTTTGAGCGAAAGTCTCTTCTGAGGTCCATTTTTCGGGTACTCAGACCAGATGTAGACATGTGAATCTCGAAAATCCAGAAGCGGAGCTTCACTTTAGACGTGATTTGAGTTAGTTGTTGATTTGAACAGTTCCATTGCTCGGAAAACGTTGATGACTTTTTTTACTTGTTTTAGATTTACTTTATAGGCACCTTGATACCCGATTAAATAGCCATTTAGATAACAACCCCCTATAAATACCGCTACCCAGCAGACAGACTTTAGACTTAATTTTCATTCATAAGCAGATTGTTGTTGCTACTATATTATAAACACTCACTTTGTAAAAGTTGATTTTAATACCAACTTATTTAATTTTAATAATATTTTTGAAATGTCTTCAAATTTTAGAATTTTCCAGTTTTAGCCAAGTCTGATTAGTCAATTGGAAGAAAGAGCTTTTAATTGCTCAATTTTGCAAAGTTTCACTTAAAAATGCTGACAATCTTAAGGTATTTTCCGCGAAAAACTATGAAAGAAATTTGGAATCCTTCGTCGCTTTGTAAACAGTTTTGAAATCTCTTTCCGGCTTCGAACTTGGAGCAAAAATCAAACAATTTGCTATCAAAAACCGAACAGAATAAGAGAAAGGTTGTAACAGATTATTTGTGATTCTCGTCACCTCCCTTCCTCTGAAAACTGTAGAATTTGTTAAAAAATGTGGTTTTTTAGTTTTGACTGATTTTCTTTGCTTTGCTTTCTACTCAAAAACGCTCTATTTTGTAGAGTTTCACTTGAAAATACTGACGATCTGGAGGACTGTAACGGAAAAAATCACAAGATAAATTTATAGCTTTGTTAAAATTTTACAAAAACTTTTTTCAGTGCCGAATTGGGGACAAAAGGAAAATAAATTCCTCCCGTTGTTCCCCGAAAACCGGGTTGTCTCCAAAACTGATCACAAAACTGAAAGTTTTTAATCGGAAACGCAAACAAGCATTATTTTTTGATGATTTCTATCTTGAAGAAAACGACCACAAAGCGGAAGTTTACAAAAAACTATTGGGAAAATTGTAGGAGGATTTCTAAAGTTTTTTTACATTTTCAGGTCATTCCAGTTTTAGCAAAGTTTCTATTGAGCAATTCTTTCTACTTGCAAAAATCGCATTATTTTTAAGGTTCACTTAAAATACTGGCAATCTTCAGGTATTTTCTGTGAAAAATTATTAGATAAATTTTATCGGAACACTCGCCTCCTTAACCGCTTTGCAAAAATGTTTGGAAGACTTTTTGCAGCCTCGGTTATAGACAAAACCCTAATAATCATTTCGGGGTCTTTTTCCAAAAATATTTCACCGCACTGAAAAACGCAAATTTTATGATCAATTATTTGGAAAGGCGTTGGAAACTGGAGTTTCTTCTCTTTTAGGTCAACATTTCTAAACAACACTGTCTCTAAACAGAAAAAACCGCGGTTTTCCTAACGTTTTCCTGCAAAATACTAAAATTTCATGTTTTCCGTCCCGTTTTTGCTCATATCTCGGAGGCAAAATGAACAAGAACGCTCATTTGTACATTATTCTAGAGAGAAATAAATGACCTTTTTAGAAAGTGGACAATGGATGGGGAATTGTTGGCAGTTTTCCCAAAAAAGTATTGATTTCAAGAAGTTTTAGATTTGCGAATCAGTTGCAAAATCCACTCAAACATTTCCCGAAAACCATAAAGGTTTTCTCCAAAACCGATCGCAAAACTAAAAGTTTTTAATCGAAAACGCAAAAAAGAATTATTTTCTGACAATTCTCTTCTTTTTTGACAGTAATGGGGTCTTTTCAGCCAAAAATTATCAAATTAATTTTCCTAGAAAACTCGCTTCATTCATCGGTTTGCACGGAACTTTAGAAAACCGATTTCAGCTTYGAATTTGGCACAAAAACCAAATAATTTTATTTAGTTTTTCACCGAAASCMATTAAGATTARCTTGAAAAAAACGACCATAAARCAGAAGTTTATAAAAAAATATTGGGAAAATTCGCCGGCCTCATCGCTCTGATGATTTCTAAAGTTCCTTTAAATTTTCAGGTCATTCCAGTTTTAGCAAAGTTTCTATTAAGCAATTCTTTCTACGTAAAAATCGCATTATTTTTAAGATTCACTTAAAATACTGGCAATCCCCAGGTGTTTTCTGTAAATTTTATCGGAACACTCGTCTCCTTAACCGCTTTGCAAAAATGTTTGGAATACTTTTTGCAGCTTCGATTATGGACAAAACCCTAATAATCATTTCGGGGTCTTTTTCCAAAAACATTTCCCCCAACTGAAAAACGCAAATTTTATAATCAATTATTTACTCTCAACTCTTGAAAACTGGAGTTTCGTCGCTTTTAGGTCAACATTTGTAAACAACACTGTCTCTAAACAGAAAAACCGCGGTTTTCCTAACGTTTTACTGTAAAATCCTGGCAAACTGAATCTTTTATGCAAAAAAATTAAGAGATCGATTTTACAAGAAAACTCTTCAACTTTCTTTGATCGTCGTTTGATCAAAATAGTAAAACGTTACTCATAACTCATTAACCGATGAGTTATAACTATAAGAGAGCGGCAACAACCCAACAGCGCAACTCAACACAGTGTTACCCAGGCCTATATTGAGGTGGAAAGTCCATGAAACAGACTTTAATAAGTAGATGAATGTCGAAAATCCATTAAACTCGCTCTACTGGTCAAATTGATTTGATTTACCGGTTTTTTACCTGAACTAGATAGGAGCCGATCCAAAGTTTATTAGGTAAACTGCATGTAATCGGCACCACCGCAAGTCAAGACCCGACTGCTCTGACGTCACGAGGACCATTTCGCTGTGAGAGTGAGTGAGAGCGGGGCCGCTCTAGTTTGGTGGTTTCCTGGCGACTCGGCCTACTTGTGACGTCAGGGCCTTGACTTGCGGTGGTGCCGATTTCATTCTTTTTCAAAATTTATGATTGAACTTTTGCGAGTTTTGATTAGTTTTATCGTTTTGACGTTAGCGATTTCTGAAAAGCGCATTATTTTTAAGTTTCACTTAAAATGCTGGCAATCTTCAGATATTTTCTGTGGAAAATTATAAGATAAATTTTATTGAAACACTCGCCTCAACCGCTCTGCAAAAATGTTTGGAAGACTTTTTGCAGCTTCGATTATGGACAAAACCCTAATAATCATTTCGGGGTCTTTTTCCAAAAACATTTCCCCAAACTGAAAAAGGCAAACTTTATAATCATTTATTTGGAAACCCCTTGGAAACTGGAGTTTCGTCACTTTTAGGTCAACATTTTTAAACAACACTGTCTCTAAACAGAAAAACCGCGTTTTTCCTAAGGTTTTACGTTAAAAACTGAATCTTTTACACAAAAAAATTAAGAGATCGATTTTACAAGAAACGACTTTCTTTGAACCCAGTTTCTGCGGCTGGAAAAAGCTAGATTAGTTTTTTAGCTGTTTGAACAAAGTAGCAAAACGTTACTCAGCAAAAATGTTAATAACCCTTTCTTAGATGTGAAAATTCCAGTCTCCGGTCTAGTAAAGCTTCAATAAATGACTTATAGCTCATTAACCGATGAGTTATAACTCGTTAACCCAGAGAGCGGCAACAACTCAATAGCGCAACTCAACACAGTGCTACCCAGGCCCTACGCTACCCAATACATACAAAACGACTTCGTAAACCATGTCTTTCCAAATTTAGACCAAAAATTTCCTGAAGATCATTGAAAATCTCAAAATGCGATTCACTCACAACAACACAAGTGCGGAAATTCGAGCAGTTTTGATGAAGATAATTGCCAACATTTCATGTTTTCCGTCCCGTTTTTGCTTCACCAAAAGCTTCGTCTATTCCCCAGAACTCTTCAAAAAACATCAACACAGACATTGCGGTGTTTAGACGATTTTACTCGCAGATAATCGGACGAAAAGCCCCAATCGCAAGGGAACAACGAGCTGTCAAACGAAAACTAAATCAGAACCGGCCCCGTTAACCAACTAATTTAAATGCCAAAGAATGAATTATGGTGGCGACTAATGGGCAGAGGCATGAGCGCAGCATGGGTTTTTTGCCCGGGGGTATTTTGTCGTTTTTCCCTTGTGTGTGTGTGTGTGTGCTGCTCGATGACAGCTCACGTGATCCCACTCACTTTGTAGCGTAACACTGTTGCGGATCGAGTGCCCATTGCAACACAATGGCGCACAAAAAGTATCCAGAGTGCTCGACCTAACGAAGTAGATCCGAAAAAAATGGCTATTTTACGCCACGTGGCGCAGCCTCTTCTGGCTGCCGGCACGTGCCGTTCGTTAAAAGTCGCAAAATAAGTCGGCCTGTTTAGGTTTCGGTAAAATAATCCGCCACTTTTCGTTGGATTATCGGGCGAGATTAACAGTCGGCTAATTAATAGGGCTCAGCTTCCATAAGGGGAGTGGAGGGCACAAAAAGAGGAGAACACCATTGAAATGAGGCTCTGATCACTAAACAAGCTCCGATAAGGATGATTTTTGGCTGGTCACTGTTGGCAGTTGAAATGACTACCGAGGAAGGGCTACATCGCTACCACGTATGGGAGATACACATTGAATCGAGTTAATTACCGGAATACGAGGAGCTGTTCAAAATGTAGATCATTGATCCAGCACTTTTTATATGAGATATTGTTGAAATCAGTTGAATTTACCTGTCAGCAACCCTAACCTCTGATAATTAAGAAGCAACAGGTTTTTACGTATTGATATTGGGGCAGATTGAAAAACACTGTTGCATAATTTCCGATCTAGTTTCCTGCAAATATCTCAAATGTGTCACCGTTTTGCCTGTCCTCCCTAAACGCCCCCAGAGAAATGACGCCCATCTAGACTCACCCTGTATATCGACAAACTCTCAAAGGTCTACTGAGCGGAGTGATGTCGAAATTGTATCCTCCTGGTCGCATCAGGCAGTAAAATTGAGTTTGAGGTTAAAACAATGGCAGCAGCTTTATCGTGCCGCATCAACGCCCCACTTGATCGAGCGGGCGTAAACGAGTAGTTAAGGTAACGTCTTAATTGAATCAATTAACGGCGGACGCGATTGGTCGATTTTAAATAATTAGCCCGTAATTTGGGTGGCGTGATGAGGTGATGCCAGGGCCGGGCGCCCTGATTGCAGTCATTTCGCGCAATTAGTTCCGCAATTCGTGTTATTTTGGGCCCATCTAGTGCTATTCGATGCCATTAATCAGCTGCAACCATCTGGCAAATGGCCAACTGTTGCGCCACTGTATTGCGATCCATCAGGATTTCGTGTGTTCACCTGGTGGATGTCTTTGACTGGCTGGTAAGGGATGGAAAGTGGGCACGCCACTGGCTCTGGATGCCCCCAAGGCGTCATATGGCCAACGCTACAAAGACCGAGCTGATTTCTTTGCGGCGGGCGATAAATACTCTCATTCCTGCAAGATTGCATTTTTTATGTGTGTGTGTGTGTGCAGATGGCTTTTGCGATAAAGCCGGCAAATATCACAAAGGAACGATCCACGTTCTGGGGAATGGCATTTTCTCTGCTGTCCTAGAAACCTTCTGAGCGCAGATGGACGCCACTGGTTCCCGATGGTTTCCAAGACGACAGCACCCAGCCAACTATTTTTTCGCGGACTTTTCGTTTTTTGTTACGGCGAAACAGATGGGAATCGGCCCCCGGGGGTGGTTTCTTATGTTACGCGAGGGAGACGGAGTCGGTGGTTTATTTTTGCACTGATTGCACATTCGAGAGGGCCACGCCAAGCTTTTGTTTTTTCACTCGGCCAGCTTTATTTCACATGCACAGAGAATCGCAGTTTCGGTTTTTGACCAACTGATCATTTGAAAACTGTCGTTTGCCAATGCAACCAAGTGTAATGATTTTCTGGTTTTTCTGACAACAATTTCTTTATCAAAAGAGATAGACTTTCGAGGCCACTCCTTCAAACTAATGGGTTTTTAGGCCGGCGTTCGGTTGAATTTGTTC